GAGGTGGGCATCTAAAAGTGCTGCCTAATGGAATCATAGAACTATATGAGAAATTCCATTTTCCTTAAAAACAAGGTCTTGGTTTTTGTTGAATGAAGAAGATCAAACTGAACATTCTAAAATACTACTTTTTAAAAACAACAGCCAGAAAAGAATGAAAAAGAAAATCCATCAATGAAGAAATTGAGAACTTTTTGTTCAACTGTGACTTCATAACCACTGAAAATGTTCATTAAAATATAAAAACATGACTGTGGTTAAGACAGCTTGCTATGGAAATAGAAAGAAAACTATGTTTGAAAAGCTGTAAAAGGAAAGAATCATGAAATGTTGTGTAGTTAATAATATCTTTCTTCACAGAAGCATCCTGCCATGTTTCTTCAGCTGGTATTGCTAGCAATTCCCAGTGAAGTTTTGTCCCTTATATAAACTCTTCTTTGCTCTGTCCCTCTAGTAAACAACAAAAATTTTTAAACTGACTTCAGGGACAATTTTTACACCCCACCCCCCACTTCCCATAGTTTCTAAGATCTTTTATCAGTAACTGTTATTTGCTTAAACATACCACAGTTCCTCACCATTCCTCTTTGATATACAATATAAAAGTGCCCTCAAATAAAACTGTTCTTTTATCAGTCACAAAAACACATTCACAGAAAATGATAACAAAGTCATGTAAGTGCTGAATGTCTCTGTGTAGAAGTACAGGAAAAATTATGCCTGAGTGATGCTCAGGAATCTGCAGGATCAGCAAAGTATGGTATTGTGTATTTGTAATTCTTTTCTCATTCTCTGCAGCTCAAAAATTTTCTGAATTTCACCTCTTCCCCATACCTCTCTCCCAGCCAGAAACCTGCATTCAAAATACCTATTAATCTTCCAGGCAATGCAGAGTCCCCACAGCCTAGCTGTTACAGAAGCTAGCTCGCATGTTCAAGCAAGAATGCAGGTCACAAATATCAAGAATAAATTGATTTTAGTAATGCATAAACCCATCTGCTATACACCAGCCTTCTTTGGTTTGGATTTGTATAGTAACTCTTGGATACATCATCTGATATCTGTTCATGCCTCTCCTAGAGGCCGAGGATTTTTGGCATGGTTCAGACTGTTCCCATTGCAGGGAAAACTGGTCATTTTCTGATTTATTTTTCAGGACTCACTCCCCAGCAATAACTTTTGTCTAGTGAAAGGAAGATGCCAGTCATATCTTGCCTTCCAATGTACTTTGCCTCCAAAGCTCACCTCAGCCCCTCACACATGCTCATACTCTTTGGACCTGCAAAGCTTGAAATCAGTGCTCAGACAGGAATTGCATCAAACACATGAGGAGTTACCTGACCAACGCAAATGCTGGTTTTTTAAAAACAAGAAATTATGCCCAAGGGAATCTTGGGCAAAGGTCAGGAGGTTAGGAAGGATAGCAATAGGTCAAAAATGTCTGCTCTTGCATAGCCTACAACTCCTTGCTTTTTGGGGTTTTTTTTAATTTGATAAAGATCTGTGAAAAAATGGGTGAATGGATTTTCGCTACAGACCTCAAGGCCTGACTGACTAGTGAGTTCAGAGTCACATACTCCTCCAAAGAGTGGAGAATCTCTAATGCTAAAATAATGGAGTATTCATTGTCTACTCATAGAGTAGCCACATGTGAGACTTTGGTCACATTTTTCTGTATCAACTAGGACTCTGATAACTGAAAATTGCAAGGGAAAAAGTAGTTCAGATAAAAACGTTGATGAAAATAAAAGCAGACTGTTGGGGCTGGGGGTGGTATGCTTATATGCCATTGTCTTTGATGCAGACAAGTATACCTGTGAATGCCCACTCATGCACCCAGAAACTCGTATCTCTGTTTCAGAAACAGGCTGGCAGAACGCCTAACTGGGTGAAGAGCACATCAGAAGAGACTCTTCCTGTACCTCACCAAGCAGTATAGTCTCATTATTTGGCTGTCCAGGTAAGACAGTTATGTTTTTTAACTCCCTTTCTAACAAGCAGAGTTTTGAGACCAAATCCTTTCACCTTTGCTTTTCACATTCTTCCCCGAAAGAGGCATGATTTCTTCTTTATTGCATTTTCTAGGATGCACACTGACCTAGAGCTTGCACCTTTCATATTGGTACTGCTGTGATCTGACAGAACACTATATCTGACTTGTATATGTAAAATTTTTTGAGTGCCCTCCAAGTATCAGGGAAAAGCATAGACCTCAGGGATCTGGAGGGCAGCACAGGGCAATGGAAATTCCCTGAGGCCTAGGCTCTGCACTCATCAGAACTAGCTGCTCTGTGGACTGTATGGAGATAGGTATAGATATCATCTCTGTGGGCCTTTAGGCTCCACTCATCACAGGAGTCCCAGACATAAATTACGAGAATATAGCTGTCAATAAAATCTGAACTGAAATCTCACTTTGGTCTTCACTGCTACATCTGCTGAGTTGCAAGTACCTATTACTCTGCCAGAAAATTCAAAAGGGGAACCTAGCTTAGAACAAAAATGATAAAGCATATTTGTATAACATTTAGCTCAGGAAAGGCTGCTACAGCAGTAAGGAAAACCAGAGAAAATTAAGCACTGCAGAAATAAGAGAAGGTTGGAAAAAGTAACTACTAAGAATGAAGAGAAATTCAGATCAGCCAGAGAAGCTGGGCAAAGTAATTTCCAATATGATTATTAATAACATCATACCAGAAATTACTTAAGTGGAGCAGCAAACACAATATACTGCTATTGCACATGTGAGACAACAATTTCTGTTCTGCTCTCCTGTAACCTTCACTATTCAGCTATTTTAGCAACCTGCTGCTTGATGATGGCAGAATTCTTCACAGGCTGAATGTCTCAAGGAAATGCTAGTGTACTAAGAGGAAATAGTCCAGCTGGATGCAGAAGGCCTAACTATAGCCAATTTAGTTGCCAGAAATGGAGCTGAATTGGAATGTACACGGGTTCTATGGTGACACAGATTCCACAGCCAGCTGTGGCCAGAGGTCATGAGGTTGTGAAAACAGGTCCAAAGCATCTCTTCACCCAGGAGGGATAAACTTTGAAAATAATTTACTTGACTTTTAGATTGCTTATGAAAACTAAGTTATTGGTCCCAGTGCATAGGAATCGTCAAGAAAAGGAAAAAGAAGAAACAATTGATTCTTGATTGGGAGCCAGACACATGATTCACAGGATATCTGAGCTACTACTTGCTATGGTGGAAAAAAAATGCCTGAGGATAATTATTCTTGCTTTGCCAGGATAAACTTATTCGTGTTTTGTACAGTTTGTACAAGTGGATGTGTGGGTCAAATCTATTTTTCATCGTGGAATCACGGAACACATTTCTCTGATCAGGCTGCACTTGAATGGGCAGAAATTTAGTCACTCTGCAGTGACACTAAATATGTGATCTTTGACCATTTTTTATCCTCAAAACACCAAGTAGTGAAAAATTAGGGGAAAAATCCAAGACTGATGTCAGAACACTAAAACACCTTCAGAAAAAGGGTATGTCATCAGATGCTACTTTTACTTAATCCAGTACAATTGTATATCAGCACTGAGAGAGCAGGTAGCAACTGCAAACATTGGCAAATTGAGAATATGAATGGCTTTTTTGCATAGTTGTAAGTGGTGCCAGATAAATAAGTAAGAGGGGAAAAGCAAACTAAAAGAGAAATGAGATTTGGTGTTCTGTGAGCTGCTGCCACTGCAGGAACATGGCAAAAAGGGCTGTGGAATTTGGCTTCACAACTGTGTAGCCAAGAAGATGGATTCATAGGTGTGAAAGAGAAACATTCTTCCAGGTTTTTGGATTGCAGAGTGAACTTTTATAGCCAAGAATCAAAGTAGTATGCTTGGGAATACTGAATGTTGAGAATTGCTGGAATTGTTTTAAGCACTAGCAGCTTTGTGTGTCGACTAGCATTTAGTGAGTGAGAGTGTCAAAGAAGTGCAAAGAAAACAGGATTCTAAAGTAGGAGTAGTCTTTTGTTTCAACATGCTGTCAGAGTTGTTATAGCTATCTTATGCAAGTAAGTAACTTTGTTGGAAGTGAAAAGGTGATGGGTAGCATCTCTGAACTGCACCACTGCATCTCTAACTAGACAAACAGAAGAACTGACAGATTTTAATGGTGACCTCCTGAGGAGAAGGGCTGAGAAAGCAAGTGTTGGCATGAGTACACAGGTTTTCTCTGAAGGGCAAAACACGGGGTCAGAGGGGAAAGGTTCATGTTGTCATCACTGCTTTCTAACATGTAGCCACTTCCTGTTTCTTCTGAGAATGGTGAGTAAGAAATGAACTTGAATTTGAGCAAAGCTTCAAGGGTTTTATTGAATGGTACATAACTAATAAACAAGATTATACACTGTCAGTATTTTCATGGAAAATAGACTCAGTTAAACACAGCAACATACTTCTGCCATCTGGGTAGATGCTAATTTAGCATTTTTAAAACACAAAGCCCCAGTAGAGCTGGAAAATCCTCCCAGCACAGCCTAGGAGGGCTCCTGCTGGAGCCCTCTCTCCAGCCAAACTGCTGGCACTGGCTCATATCATCAGTGTCAGCTTCAGCATGGCACTGCTGGGACATAATGCCAGTGAAAAGAGCTAAGATCAGGCTTTTAGAGCAGCAGTGTCATCAGTGCCAGCCTACACTGATGCCACTGTGGAAGCCAGAAATGGAACCAATAAATAGCAATGCAGGGAAACAAGTCAACATTCCTTTGTACGTTAGTGTGTTCTTCTGCCTCTGCCCCCAGACCTGTAGGGTCAGCCTTGCAATGACACACAAGCCTCTGTCATAATAGTGTTTGGATTTCAGTTGATCAGTAGGCATGGTGAAATATGACAGTAAGATGCTCAACTGCAACAGCAATAGCTCTTAATGCTATATATAGATATAGATATAGATATATATTACATATTGGTACAATACATCTCAATGAGTCAATGGCCTAATGTAGCCATTTTTATGTGACAGGGTTAATCTTCAAATACTAATGCATATACTATTTATTCTCCTCCAAACCACAGAAGTTGCAAAGAATATTCTCTCTCCTTCCCCTTTGCAATAAGACGATTAATTTTATTTCTTTAACTGACATGAATTAGCAGACTCTCCATCCCAGGTAGGATAGGGTCTCTCTCTTTCCTGGTTACAGTTACCAGTGATGTGGAATGGAATCACTTTTTTCTCTAGCTTTTCAGAAGGCATTTTCACATAGACTCCAGTAGTGAGGCACCGTCTTCTCTTTATCTATAAAATACAACAAGACCATAAAATAAACAAATGGTCACAGTATAAACAATGATCAGAACATTGTAGAGAAAATGTTGGATGGAATGTAGAGAAAGTGCTGATGGATTGTAGACGGATTGTAGAGAAAGTGCTGGATGTTCTCCCTTTACTGAGTAGAAGGTATTCTAGACACCTTTATAGAAGATCCATTGAGACCATTTGAGGGAGGATCAGGATATACAGGGGCCGTTTATCAAAGGGTGAGTACTGCAGACCTCCATGGAAAAAGGCAATCTAGGCTTACATTTTGTATGCCTTTGTGCATCCAAGGAGAAGCATCTTTAAATTGCTTTGCACAGAGGCTAGAAAAGAAAAAATCAAATCCTAGGACTTTGTGTGAATCAGTTGCGAAATCAGAGCACACATTAAGACTGTTGCCTTTGATCCCAGAGGCATCCAGGGCTCCAACCTGTTTTAAGCCATGGGTCAGTCCAGCTGATGGAAGCTGACTGCTTTCTGGTACTCTGGTAAGCCATAAATACAAGTGGCAGCTCCAGGAAGTTTTGCATTATTGTAACAGCATTGCTCTAGTAAAATGGAGCATCCCAATGTGTTTGTTCCCAGTGTTCTTCCCTGTTCTCGTTTCTTTCTCCTTGTCCTCATCACACAAAGGGGTGTTATTATCAGAACAGGGCTGAATTGAGGGGACTTACCGCTTTGCCCACAAGAATGGCTGAGATGATGATACTGTAAAGAAAAAATCCTGAGGCAGTAGCTCCCAATACCCAGAGATATATAGCAGTGTCTGGACAAGGTTCTGGATCTAAAACATATGATATCACACAAGTCATGTCACACATGAGCTTCATAAGGACAACCCTAGAGTCAGTAAGTCAGCCTCCACACTGCTGTTTTCTAGCATGTGCTATCCCGGGATAATACCAGAGCTGAGCTCTGAGTCCCTTCCCACTCAATGACCAGTGAAAATAGGCTTCATCTGTAGAAGAACATACACCTTACCCTAGCTATTTCTGTGCTTCTATATCTAATTGCCTAGACATACATGCACACTACATGGTGTTGCTTATGCTGGCAAACATCCATAAATTGCTAAATACATTGCATGGCTATGACTGTGCTTGCTTTAGGTGTGTGCAGGGAGACCTGAAAGGAATAAGAGCTAATCATGATTTTCAGAGCTCAAACTGATATTCGTCCTCACTTCTTACAAACAGAACTCTGAAGACCTTTGAGACATAGTAGCAACCCTTAACTTGGAAATACCAGTTTTGTAAAGCTGCTTGGCTTACCAATGACATAGAGATGTGTCCCATTACCCTTGTTCATAAAATAGGGTGGGGGGTACATCCGCTCCATCTTGCAAACATAAAGACCAGTGTCGCTGGCTTGCAGGCCAGCGAGGGTGAGGGTCACATTGTTTCGGCCAGGGCTAATATGGCACTGAAGGACCTTTTCCACACTGAACAGTTTAAACTCCGTGGTGTATGTTGAAGCACAAATTTCAGTGGAACTGTCACCCATCTGTTTAAGCAGAGTCACTCGAATTTCCTTTGCATTCCCAATGTGCTTGTATTTACACACCAAGCTGGCAACTCCTTGCCTGTTGGCCAGCACCATTGCGGGCTGAGTCACTTCCAGTACTGTAAGGAAGTAAAGAGCATAATGGTAAGTGAACTGTCAAGAAATAATCTGCAGTCATTTACTTGAAACCTGCACAACAGAGAGCCCTAGCACCTTCTATTATCCATGGGTAATTCGTAGAAATACTGCTTTCAAAAAAAGGGCTCCAAGACCACAATTCACACTGGCACTACATTAATATCCTTTAAAAAGCTAAAGAAATGCTCTGATTACTATAAATAATATTATAAATCTCAGGAATTGCTTGTTACTTAATAGGAGGTTATTTGGCCCACTTACTGAAGCAATGACCTGCATGCTTCAGTTTCCCTCAACACAAACTTTTTAATACATAAAAGAAAACAAACATAAAAAAAAGATATCAGATGCTAAGGCTGAAATTTTAAATTTAATATCAGGCATTTAAACCATGATTTCTGCCTAGTAGAAATAAACATGTTCACATTTAGAAACAAACAGGTTGACAGTCTGTATGGAACATGGAACAGAACCATTAGGGTAGCAGTAAAATTGAATGGAAGATCTGTTTGCATATTTTTGTTTCAGATCTTTTTTTTCTCCTTATTTTTAACTAGCTACTCCCAAGCCACAGTATAGCAACAGTATATACCCCAAGCCACAATATAGCAACACACAGCAAAGCCTGATAAACATACTGCAAAACAAAATAATTACAAATCTTAAGCAGAAATTAGTGTACCTTGTACATCCCCACTGGCAGCTTTTTACAACTTCTATACTCTATCCTGCTACACGATGGGAAGACACTGACTTTTGCTTTAATAAGCTGTGAAGACTCAGTATTATTTGTTCAATTTCACTTTATATCAGTCCATTTTGGGCCAGGGCTCATCTTCTTCAGTTCTGCAGTGCAAGAATTCAAGATGAAGAAGAATAGAATTTCTCCATCCATCCAAAGCTCTACACCCATGTTATCAGCTGCCACATCTTCACTCACATGGCCTGGTTTGTCACAGTCTTTTTTCCTTCTTGAGCTACTCTGAATCCTGCCCAGTATCTCTACAGATGGCACTGCTCTACAGTCTTTATCTGGTTTTCCAGATACCTTGAAGTGCCCCAAGATCTTGCTCCCATCCAGTCCTATGCCATCTCCCTGTCCCTGTTGTACCAAGTCCGTCTCCTGCAAAGACGTGAAACTGAAAAAGAATAGACACCCCCAGATACCTTTCCTCCTTCATCTACCCACCTGTGGCAGTGGCTGTGCAGAGAAAGCACACAGTGACCAATACTGAGAGCATTCTTGTGCTGGGACAGATGATGAAGGGCTGAAGATGTCTGATACGTTCAGACTTTAAGACGAATTGGAGTTGTCAGGCTTGGAAAAGAGGTGACACCTTTCAGGATACTGAATCTTCGAAATGTTTGAACCCACACAGAGCCAGTGTGTATATATAGCTTTGATCCCAGATGTTGTACCTGAAAGTAATATGAAGCTTTGTTTTGGTTTTACGAGAAAGGAAGTAGTGGGTTTGATTAGTACGTGCACAGTTAACCTCAAACAGCATGAACAAAAACAACTATTCAGCAGATGGAAAATATATATTCAATCTGAAACTGCCGTCCATTCTGCTTTAAGAATTGTGGGAGGAAAGGTAATCATCCATTAGAGCACTTCAGGCCCTTCAGTGCTCCAGCTTGCAGAATCATAGCACTTAATATTTTAGCAGTCATCAGGTATTTCCTACTAGGACAACATACAGAGAACCATAGTTCTGCCTAATGTGGCACGGTGAAACGCTGCATACTTTTTTATGGAGGGCTTGCCTCTGCCCCCAGTTTCTTTGCTTGTTTAAATGTGAGTGCTTTTGACGTTTAAAAGTTGCTGCTCCCTTTAAAATACTGATTACACTTGCAATGACTTCATCTTTTCATATCAGCAATGTGACTTGCATCATAACCCAGCTTCTTAAAGCTTTCCTCTTTCAAGAAAAAATTATCTACGTTTATAGCTAATGACTTCCACATCTGTACAGAACTTTCCCTATCTACAGAATTTACTGTCTAACTACCTTGACATCAACAGATGAAAAACACTGCAGGAGCTTTGATTATTGCTCTCTCTGCTTAGAGCACCTGCATCATTTCAAATCTCAGTGAAACAGTTTTCACCCATGGGCCTTTTAAAAGTCACGTAAGGTCTGAAAATCATTTTGCTTTTTTATGTGATAGACTGACATATCCATGAATCATTGCCTAAAGAGTTCCATAAAAATGAAGCCTCTCTTCAGTTATACTGAAGGTCATCATTCTTGGTTTTACCCACACTTTGAGAAGTTCTTTTAGAAGGTGCTTCATCATTTATACATGTAGATCAAGTAGATTGCAAAGACCTGCTTTTGGACTGTGACCTAGAAAATCTGACAGCATTAGTTCTTGAACAGTAGTCTACCCAATCCAAAGATACAGGATAAATACTTGATCTTGAAATCACACAAATACCTAATGATATAAATAAGTTTATTTCTTCCATACATAGGTGATGCAAAAGTTGTTTGTAATGACAGATTCACAGGTAGTTTAATCTTAACTAGCATTCCAAACAGAACTGATGTTAAATAAAAATACATGGAAAATGAAAAACTGCACCTTAATAATGAGTCAGGCACATATGGTATTACTGGTTAGACAAGCCTAAATCAATTTTAATCTTAAATCTATTATTAAATAAATGCTATCGCAATATCATGTACCAGAATATCAGTGAGAGTTATGGCATGGCATTACCAGGTTATGCCTGACATTTTCATATCCAAAGAAGTAACCAAATTTTCTGCCCTTTGTATCTTTTGAGCTTGGGTTTTGTACGCAGTTAGATAAATTCTACATTTGAGCCTTGTCAACTCTAATGTCATCTCCTGATAATTGATTGAGACTGCAAATTGATGGTGCAATTAGCACTAAGCACTAAGCACTTGCAAAGGATTGCCATGGCAAACTCAGTGCTCTTGCCCCACACATCCACAGTATCTTATCCAGCTAGAGTGAGAGGCAGCACTCTGGCACTCCTCTCTCTGATATCTGAGTCTGCTCTGGCAAGCTTTGTTTTCAATGATAGTCATCTTGTTTTCTGGCTGTTCTGTTCTCTGGATGGCTTTTCAGATCAATCACTTTTTTACCCTTGTTCCTCCTTAAAAGCCTCATGTTATGATGATTGTTCTTCTAAGTGAAGCACAGTATGTCTTCCTGTAGAGTCTCTTGAAGTTGTCTCTGTCTTCACAGCTGGTGCAGCCTGAGGTGAGCCTGGTCTGCCCTGTGTTATTCCTTCCAATGAACAGAGATGACCTTGCTAATCAGACTTCGGGTCTTGAGTTAATGTATGCAGATAGCAGACGGATGATGCAGTGAAAGAGATCTTGTTCCTTCACTGCTCCCATCTTTCCCAGCTCAGTTATAGCATGGAACAACATATTGTAACTGAATGAGTTCCCCCTGAAATAAAATCCACAAGAATCGCTGGGGACATCTTTTCTCTCTGCTGGGCCCCTCTTCTAACTACTGTTCCGCTGATCAAGAGTCTCTGGACTTGTGCTTGATCCACCTTCCCTATGTATCACAGCCATGCTTTGTGGGCTGCACCCATAGGATCTATCTTACCTGATTACTACACCTTCTTGTCTGTGTAGTCTGATAGCTTCCTGCCTTGACTGTCTTATCTTGAGAACTCTTTTTCTTTCACCCTTCACACATAAATGGAACCATACACATGGCCTAGGCCCAGGGCAAGACAGTGGGTGAAAGAATATCCCTCCCTTTGACATTGGGATTCAAGTCTTTCAGGAATGTTATTCCTCTGGCTGTTGCCAACAGCCTGTGCTTTGCACTTGCCACCTCCAAAATTCAGTGTAAGATACATCTTTCTTTTAATGCCCATACTTATACTATAGTACTCTTTGTTCTTAGAAGTGATATTGGTTCTCAGGTCACAGGAAACCTTTACACTCTGTATATGCTACCATAGCAAACTGTCAGAGCAGGAGAGAGGGCTGAGGGCCTTGCAGAGCCTTAAAAAGAGGAATCAGCTTAGGAGTGGTTTGGGTCTCATGGCCTCTTTGAACTTAACTGAGGGAGGGACATGCAATTTACACAGAACACTGGACCACACTACTGTGATTAGTCAGATTACTAGCAAGTTAAATAACTAGGTTTCTCATGTAAGTTTCTTTCTCATTTTGGGTTAGTCACATTCTAGTGATTTGCTTTTCTTCAGTGAATGCTTCTTAGGGCAAACCTTCCCACTGACACCCTGTCAGAATTCCCATTGCAAAATGTTATTATTCACAGAATTATTTTACACTTTAGTCTGTCTCATGCTGCCCGTGGTATTTTCTTCTGTGACAGGAACTTGCTTGGTGAATTGCTTGAGATGTAATGGGGAGAAGAGAATCTTAAAATTTGCATAAGTATCTGGTTTCAGGATATTTTGTTCAACTCAAAATGTGAGATCATGTCTTACTATGTTAAACAGTTCACGTTTTTACCGTGTTAGTTTGCCACAGATCTATTGGGGTTTTGAAATGCACTGTCATTTGAAAAAAATCCAGACCTCTAAGTGGTATGGCTGAAGAAAAAATCTTCTCTACAAAACAGTAGGTAAAGAGAAAAGGAAATAACACAGTGACTGGAAAAAAATCATTTCATTACCATTAAAGGACTAAAACCTGATTAGTGTAAGTAAAGGCCTAGATACAATCAAGTTTGGTGGATCTGTCTTAGTTCCTGAAGGAACCACAATTCACATCACAAACCCACTGATTTTTAGATCTCTCAGGAATGTGGCCTTTCTGTCAGCTTCTAATGTGGTGTTGTAGATGCTGCTCTTCAGTCCTAAGCCTGTGTCCTCAGTCCAGCCTCAGCAGAGGTGAGGACAGCACTAGCTGAGCAATTCTCCTTCCACTACTCCTCAGGGCACACAGAGTTGGCCTTCTTGTGCACTTCTGCAGAGCACCAGATTGTCCAGAAGGATTTGAGGTGTGGGTGGATGTGTAAGCATTCCTTTTCTTTGTGCTACAATTGTTGGCATTTCATTTTTAGACTCTAGGCTTTGTTTTCCTTGCCGTGAAGTTAATTATATCCAACAAGCTTTCCTGATATTCAGGGCATCTGTAGTTATCTAACACAGAGGGCAAATTGCCTCCCAATGTTTCATGCTACCAGTTCTCAATTAGCCTTGCAGGTCTGCATTGTAGCCCTTACCTGGCTGGCTTTGCTACATGGGATTTGTCATACACCATACATGCCCCAGCAGCAACCAGGACCCCTGTCCATGTGAATGTATTGCCCCCAACACATGCCCCATGCAGCTTACAGTCAAAATGTAAGATCTGAGATGTATGGAAAGAAACACAGAAGCAAAAGGAAATAAAGAGACAGGGCTGAGAAGCAACACAGGCAAAAGGTCTTTACACACTAACTTCCTTACTCTTCTCATTTCCCTGTTATGGCAAGGGAGGAATTTTAGGATGAATTTGAACAGATGTGCTGGAGTATCTTGTAGATGCTTAAGGACCTTCCCTTACAGGAAGGAGCTTTCCAAAGCAGACCTCCACATATCTGTTGTTCCCAGACCAAACACTTGGGAGGGAACACAGAATAAAGTAGACACTTCTACCCCAGAGTGAACACTGCAAGCTAGTCTGTTTTCATGAATGAGCAAAAAAAGAACCAAAGGAACCCCCTAAGTCTAAAAATAAGCAGTTAAGTATACCCCGTGCTTGGAGGAATGTTTTGCTTCCACTTTCCTTTATTTCTTAAAGCATTGCAAAAAAGGAAAACCAGCAAAAGGCAGATGTATTTGTGAGAGTCTCTGGGTCTGACAGCACAGCAGTTTGCATTTAATGAGCGGCACAAGGATAAATCATAAAGCTTTGCTGGAAACATGTGAAGAGTGATGTTCTAATCAAAAATGAGATGTGTAAGAAATATTTTTAAAGGGTACAGATGAGGAGCATAATTAAGAGCCTACTTCCAGTTTACACAGAGCTAATTAAGTCCCTGATTTAAAAAAAATAATAAATCATGGCGTTTCAAACTAGAAGATCAAAGCAGGTCTCATGGAGAACCTGGAATTAAACCTTTATAAAGCAAAGGACTCAATGAAGTTTACATAAAGGAGATGGTGCTCCAGCTCAGTAGACATAGAGAGAATCCAAATATTTGAAAGACAGGAGACCTGACAAGGAAAGGCATTTTCCTAAGCTCACAGTGGGAAGTTCATCCAAGGAAAGTCATGGAGAACATTCTAAAGTATCTCTTTGAATTGGTGACAAGTGAGTAATGAGGATCAGCTTTGTTCCCTGAAATCTGGAGGCCATTTCTGAAATATGAATGTGAGCTAATAAAATGGGATGGGCTGGGAAAAGAAATT